AAATTTGGGCAAAATCGGATAATGGGAAGTATTAAATGGTTTTACACACCGGACACCGGACAAACGACTAAGATTATAAGCGGGCTTTTTTAAAAAAAAATCTCGCTAACAAAATAAATGATTACCGTAAGGAATGCCAGCGTAGTAAAAGACATTCCGAGTGGCATCACTATTGACCGGGACCAGTGAACCTCTGACAATGCCGCCCGACTTTAACTTGATGATCCCCGTTGAAGTGTGAAACTGGCCGACAGAAGCTGCAACAAAGAGACACTGAAAGAGAATCAAAGTTGGCCACATTTTAGGTGAATGCAAAAAAAGATTAGCTTTGCTCTCAATTTGCCCCGTTTTTATGGCAGTTTGATAATTGCACTACATTTGTTCAGTTGAAAATTGCATCAATATTTGGACATATTTTTTGTGCCATCTGTGCTAACCTTTAAATTGTTGATCTATCAGCAGGTGCTCAAACAAGCGTGCCGTGTTTTAAAATAGATCACGAACAAAAAGTGCGCATCAATGAAAAATCAAATCGCCAGCATAATTCCTCGTGTCTGTTTTCACTACTGCAACAAAGAATCCGTTTTATTTTCTATTTCAACGGCGCCAGCAGTGTTGCTGAGCAGCACATTAGGCGCGCTCCAGCTGGCCTGGCCAGCAGTTTTTGCTTCCTTGTCTAACAAAGTTGCGTTTTTCCAGCTGGTGCTCAGTGAAAGTAACCGCCACTGAGCACTGGAAAGCACTGGTTGAGCGTGGGGGTTTTCTGAACACGGCGCGCGCCAACGCTGACATGACTGGGAAAACAACAAAGGAAAGCAGCGAACGTTGCCTTGCCGTGCTGAAGCGCCGCCGCGGCTGCACGCTGGCGCACATTCTGCACACAGCAACAGCAGCAGCTGCAAAGTGCTCAGTGCGCCTGAGCCAGACACACGCTGAAAACAAAGAAGCAAACACACCACCAACTCCGAGGATAACCATGGATTACAACGACAACGCCGGAAGCTTCTATGAAAGTTCCTATGGGGATCCAAGTCTCGAATGCATCGATCTGGCGAGTGACTCTGATGAGGATGAGCAGGAGACGGCCGAGTACGTGCAGCCGGTGGCAGTGTACCAGGCGAGTACGTCCAAAGGTCCAAAGCCAAAGATCCGAAGTAATCCGACCCAGAATAAGCGCCTTTACCAGCGAAATCGACTGTATCTTTCGCTCAGTTTTGACTGTACTGACTGTGAACAGACTGCCATTTCCAGCGAAAACCTGTACAAGAAGCATCTGCGTGATGACCATAGCATCTACAACCATCGCTGCTATGTGGCCTTCTGTGGACACTCCTTTAAACGAAAGTGCGTAGTATCCTTGCAAATGTTCTTGGCATTTACTAACAATTTTACCATTTTTTTCAGCATCTTCCTCCAGCAACACTTGGAGAAAGTGCACCCAAATGAATTTAACTGGATCTGTGCTACATGTCAGCAGTCCCACACCTCCCACGATGAGCTGAAGAAGCACTTTACCTCGTGTCATCAGTTTGGAACCTTTGTTTGCAACTTCAAGGGCGGTTGCCAAGTTGAAACGTTTAATCGTGAACAGATGCTTCAGCACCTGCGAGAGTACCATGTGTTAGATCCAGAGGGAAAGGTGACGCCCAAAAACTACATTTGCAACTTCCAAGGATGCGAACAGGCGTTCTCCACCAGTGCCCTTGTACGTCGTCATCAGTTGTTTCATCTTAAAATCAAGCCCTACAGCTGTAAGCTGTGCTCTTACGAGAGTGAAGTTCGCTATGCGACCATAGTTCACATCCGCACCGTTCATATGGGCCTACCGGCGTACGTTCGTGACCAGGAGGCGAAGAACATTGTTGATAAACGCGACCCTGCATCCTTTCTTCACGTTGAAGCTGACAAGCTGGAAAAGATCAATGAGTGTGCTAGAAATATCAAGCGTATCAAGTGATTCTAGTTAGTGTCCACACTTTATTAACACTTAGCGCTTACAAGGGCCAAATCAGTCTTACACATAATCTTCGGTAGGCGGACATTTCATCGCGAACCTTTTCATCGCACGGCCTTTTCAGCAGACACAGAGGCTTCCCCTTCTAGTTGGCTTGCGATGAAAAGGCTTGCGATGAAATGGTTGCGGTGAAATGACCTAGAATCATAATTCTCACGTTATTTTTACTTACTTGATAATGTAACTCAATTAGAAATGTAATAAAATTGCAAATGTCGGAAATGTACTACTAAACTGCTTCAAAAAGTCAAAAGTTCTAAACAATTAGAGCTACCTGACTATATCATTCTGCCTAGTTCCAACTCCCAGTCAGAAGAAAAGTAAAGTGTAAAAGTCTAAAGCAGTATAGAAATCCACAGTGTGATGTCTTTTTTCACGCCCCGCTCGGCAACTCCAAACTCCCGCGGAGCCACCGTGGCACCGACTCCATCGGGGCACGCCGTGCAGATCGTCACCGTCAGCCCTGACCGGAAGTTCCACCTAGACGTGGCCGCCCTCTCCTCGATCCTCCTGAAGGACGCCGTCCGCCATCGCCCAGTGGTCGTCCTCTCCATCGCGGGCGACTTCCGCAAGGGCAAGTCATTCCTGCTGAACCACGTCCTGCGCTATTTGCAGGCAGGCAACGACGAGGCGGCGAAGGCGGCCGTCTTCAGCCAGGCGAACCTCGATCGCCCGCTCACCGGTGGCTTTCACTGGCGCGGCGGCGCCGAGCGGGACACCACCGGCATGCTCATGTGGTCGGAGCCATTCATCATCAAGATCCCAGCTTCTAAAAAGCCTGCAGCAGGAGGAGGTACTCTCAAACAGAAGTCCTCCTCCTCTTCTGAGGTGGCCATTCTGCTGTTGGACACCCAGGGCGCCTTCGACAGCGAGTACACGCTGAAGCACTCCGCCACGGTCTTTGCCCTCTGCACCCTGGTCAGCTCTCAGCTGGTGTTTAATCTGCGCCACAACCTGCAGGAAGACAACCTGAACGTGCTGGACGCCTTCACCGACTACGGCCGCCTGGTGAAGGAGGCCACTCCGGAGCTGGCGAACCAACAGTCGGCGGCGCCCTTCCAGCGACTGCTCTTCCTCATCCGCGACTGGTCCTACCCCTACGAGTACCCCTACGGCCTGGAGGGCGGCACCCGTCTGCTAGCGGACAATCTAGCGATGAAGCCTACGATGCCCGAACAGCTGCAGCGCGTCCGCCGCCGCGTCCTCGACTGCTTCGAAGAGCTGCAGTGCTTCCTCCTGCCGCACCCGGGCTCTACAGTGGCGGCCAGTCCCGCCTTTGACGGCCGCCTCCGCGACTATGACCCCGCCTTTCTCCGCTCCCTCGAAGAGCTGGTCCACCTGCTGCTCGCCCCGGAGCGGCTGCAGGCAAAGCGCATCGGCGGCCGCCGCCTCACCGGCAGCGACTTGCTCGCCTACTTCAAAGTGTACGCCGGACTGCTGGAGGGCGACTCCATGCCAGAGCCGAAGACGATGCTCGAGGCGACGGCAGAGGTGAACAACCTGACGGCCGTCTCCGCCGTGCAAGACGTCTACACAGAGCGACTGGAGAAGATGGCCGGCGCCCGGGCGCCCTACATCCGCCCCAGTCTGTTGGCGGAGAGAGTCGCCCGCCTCCAGGCCGACTGCCTGGCCGCCTTTGACGCCCTGCCGAAGATGGGCGGCGGCGACTTTTCGCGGCCCTACCGCGAGCGCCTGCAGGACATCATGCGCCGCCTCTTTGAGCAGTACGAGGAGCTCAACTCGCGCAAGAACCTCTTCACGCAGATCGGCGTCCCCCTGCTGCTCCTCTTCACTGCCATCGGCCTCAACCTCCTGTCGCGACTGAGTGAGGCGGTCCTCGCCTTCCGCCTGCTGGCCGCCCTCCTTCAGCTGGCCGCCTACCTGGTGGCGGGCCTCCTCGCCGGCTACGTCTTTGCCCGCTTCAGCGGATGCTGGGCACGGTACATTCTCGCGGTGGAGACGCTCACCGAGGTCGCCGTCAGTCGCCTGGCACAGTACGTCCTCAAGAAGGTGCTCCACTCTGTGGTCCTCGAGAGGGCTCAGGAAGGAGGAGGAGGAGGTGGTCGAGGAGGTGGAGGAGGTGGCGGCAGCATTCGCCAGCAGCTGATGATTGATGGCAACAGTCCGACTGGCAGTAGCCGTGGTCGACTGCTGCAGCAGCAACGCATCACCGCCGACGTGGCCGCCGGCAGTCAGCGGCGCCGAACCGGCACCATTCGCACCAATCGCAACAGTCTGCAGGCGAAGCTGCCACCGGCTAATTGATTGCTTGTTGCTTTGCTTTGCTTTTCTATTTGGTTTTTGCAAAAGCAAGTTTTTGGTTTTGTAATTCTTCATTTGATGTTTGCCGCTTTCTTTTGAATGCCAAAACAAAAAGTGTAGCTGAACACTTTTGCTAACCGAAAAATAGCTCAGGAAAAGTAGAAAGTTAGCAGATTTTTTTCAGTTCAGAAACGTTGAATTGTACGTGTCATTGTTTGTGCATTGCTGCTCAATTATTCGAAATTTTTACTTTCCATAATAAAAGTTGCAGCAAACTGCATTGTCAAATTTTTAGCCTGGCATTGCTCTCTGATTTCCCTTTATCAAGCAAAATGTCTCAGAAAAAGGAGAAGATTGTGCTGTCTGCGAACGACGCCCGTCTGCTGGAGAAGAAAGGCTTCAAACTGGGCGACCCACTGAACAGTGGCTCATTTGCCTGCGTCTGCCGTGCCACCTTCAAGGGCACTGGGGTCGCCGCCAAGGTCATCGACCTGG